TCAACTTTACTTATTGTTTCGATAATAGCCTATCAAAAGTAATTTAGGATGTCAACTTTATTTACTGTTTCGATAATAACCAATCAAAAGTAATTCAGGATGTCAACTTTACTTATTGTTTCGATAATAGCCTATCAAAAATAATTCAGGATGTCAGCTTTATTTATTGTTTCGATAATAACCAATCAAAAGTAATTTAGGATGTCAACTTTACTTATTGTTTCGACGAAAGATTATTAGTGAAATATCAAGCAGACTTAAGATTCTAAATTATATTCCATCAGGATGAGTATGAAAAATTTATTTCATTTAAAATCAGTGTTAGTGTGACGATAAATAGCACAACAGATTACAAGTTACTTTACTTTACCCATTACTGTAGGTAAAATAACTTGTAACCTATTGTTGTGGGTAGATTACGGGTAAATTAATGTAATGCATAATTTAGAGTTATGTTAAGCTTCTCTATTGTTTGTTTGTTTTATATCCATAATAATAATAATATTGGGAGGGAGGGAGGCATTTTTTTTTTTCTACCCAAAATTAATAATTGATAGATCTGGTACAGTAATCATCTATTCAAAATAATTCGTACACATGTATAGTTTCATTGAAAAAAAATTTTTTTTTCAAACAATTGATAAATTTCATAAGTTTTATTTAAATGAAAAAAAAATGGAAGAGAGAAACGTTTGCCTCTAAACATACGACACGAAAATACGGTACAACAGTGCTACATATAGTAGCAAAGTACAGTACCCAATTTACAATCTTCATATATATATGTATTTGAATCCATAGTTAAATTTTTTTTTAAAAAAAAGACAAATTGAATCGTTTTACTAATTGTATACAATTCAACAAAAATTTTCCTTTCTCATTTATAAATATTCCTGTTTTTGAATTTTTTTTTAATTTCAAATCTAAAATATCTGAAAATGTATTATTAATGAAAAATAAAATGTTTGAATATTATACTATCATTTATTAGTGATATCCTTATAAAATCTTTTAATTTAAAATATAATTATCGGAATTATTAAATATTATGTGTGACACATAATTAAATAAAAATAATTTGTAAAAAATCAGAAAGGAAAATGCAATTACACTACAATCTAGAAGAAAAATAAAAAATATTTTGAAAAAAAAAAAACTAGAAATGAAATCACAAATCATTGGTATATATTTTGCTTCTCGATTATTTCGTCTGGTGATGATAATGATAATGATAATGATTGTTGTGGTGATGATGGTAACGATGGTGGAGTAGTTTCACGTATTGTTATACCAGCTGGTTGCGTAATTGGGAATAATGGAAGCATAAATGGTGACATACTTTTACAAGCCTAAAAAAAGGACAAGAAAACAAAAAATATAATTTTAAATTTCTAATTTATAATGTAATTTAATAATTATGTAACATAACTTTTAACAATTAGTTAGCATAATTAATTAGCGTGGTTTAATAATTAATTAGCATAGATTTTTTTCGAAATTTGAATTGTCATAAATAATGCTGATGAATTAGCATTATAAATTGCTACCTGTACACGTGGATACTTTGCATTTGGTCGTCTTCCACGTGGTACCCTTGATGCAGCTAGTAGATTATCGATAGAAAATGTATTTTTTGGCAATGTAATATTTTCGTTATTTTTCGTCTAAATTAAAAGATTCTTTATTAACTAATTAATTTAAAATGTTTAACAAATCAAAAAAGAGAGGCTAAAAAATTTGAAAGTCATGTAAAGATGAAACCTGAACTTAATTAATTAATTTTAACCTACTTCATTTTCGTTACTTTCATTAGTGGTACCAGGTTTTACATTTCCATCAGTATCACGTATGAGGCTTTGTACACGTTGAGCACCTTTTCTTAATTGTTCTTTTTTACGCCATTTAGCACGTCGATTTTGAAACCAAACCTTAAAAGATTGCAACTTTTAAGTTTTTTTTTTTCACTACCAGTTTTTCTCACGTATTAGACGTTATCAAAACCTTTAAAAAAAAACCCACACGTTTATTACTTTGTTTTATACGTGAAAAAACATATTATCTTGCATATTTTATTTTTTTTTTTTCCACTTCATATCTATTACCGTAACTGGCAAATGAATGTACTATAAAATAAAAAAAAAAAGGCAGAGAGAAAAAAAAAGGGAAAAAAAATTAAATGTTAGATAGTAAAAATAATTGCAAAAATTTCATATTATCATTACATGAAATTAAAATTAAGGAGGAGAAAAATAGAAAGAAAGAGAGAGGAAAGAGAGAGAGAGAGAGGGAAAAAAAGGAATGAAAGAGTAAAAAGAAAGAGAGAAAAGATAGAAAGAAAAAGCAATAAAATAAGCTTAAATTTCTTTATTGGTTTAGTAAAATATAACAAAAGAAAAAAAAAAGATGTAATCAAATTAGTTGCAATTTTTCTTTTTTTTTTTTCAAGAAATTTAATGGGTTCTCATTAAAGCACTCTTTTTTTTTACATCTCTTCCCCTTTCTTTCTTTCTATCTTGCTCTCCCTCTTTCTCCCTTTCTCTATCTTTCTCTATTTTCTATCATTTCTTAAATGCAATAATTTTTCATTCAAATCTTTTTCTCATACCTTCCATTCCCATCATCTTTTCATTCTTTTTTTTTTTTACTCTCCATACCTTACTCATTGAACTTAATCTTTTCTTATCTTCGCAACAATCCCTTTTTTTTTCCTCCTTTCTTTTCTACTACATTCGATAATTTTAGGATAGGAAATTTAGAAAAAAAAAAAAAAAAAAAAAAGAAGAAAGAAGTGATCAAAACGAATAAATTGACCATAAGATAATTAGTAAATAACTTGACTGGAATTAATATAATACATTATTGTATTTTAATTCAAATATTACTATTATTTTAATTAAAAATTTTTTTTTCCTAAAGAAAAACCATTTTTTTTTTTTTTAGTAAAATAAAAATGAAATAATAAAGAAATTGACCAGTTACCGTAATTTACCTGCATAGAAAGAAAAAGTTTTTCCGAGAAAATATTGGGGATTACGGTAGATTGATTCAATTGCAGTCATTTTTTTTTTTTTTAAATAAATTAAGATATGTTAATGTAATGAAATTTTTCAAAACAATAAATTATACATATACTAAACATTCATAATCATCAACAACACTCAATAACAACAATAGCAACAATAATAATAATAACAATAACAATAACAACAACAACAACAACAATAGCAACAACAATAACATCAACAATAACAATATTAATCTTGAATTATGAAGGAAGCATGATAATTTGATGAAGTTCATATGGAAGAAAAATAACGATTTATTATGATAAGGATAATCGATGATTACGATAATCATAATGATCCATGATCTTCATTATGATAAATTATAAAATTTGATTTGCATAATATTTCATGATGAATGGATTAGCAACGATTACGATATTCATATGCAATCCTAATTATGCTAATTATGTATTAAACGAAATAAGCTTATAATTTTCAATAACTTATCTATTTCACTTTTTAACATTCTTTTTTTTTTCTTCTTACTTTCTCAAAATTTATAATTTTCAACAATTTATTTCTTATAACTATTATGCCTTTTCCATTTTTGCTTTTATTATCAAGGGAATTTCCTTAGCTATCCATCTATTTCCATTTCCGATTATGGAAGATAAATTAATAAAAGCTACAATTAATTAATAACTGATTATATCTGTTGTTTATAGCAATATAATATTGCATAAAATAATTTTTAAATAAAATGTGTAACAAATTTTATTAATTAAAACTTTCAGAGGTCAAAAATTAAGAAGCATAAAGATAGATTAGCTTTGTAAAAATAAGAATGATTGTGTTATTCGAATTTGGAATATTATCAATTTCTTAAAATAGTTTGAAATTTCATTTTTTATTTCAAAATTTAACTCTCTGAAATTAAATACATTTAATCTTTTATTCTTCTCTCTCTCTCTCTTTCTTTCTTTTCCCTACAATGTTTTTCATTTTTTTCTACTTTTAACTCATCATGAAATGTTCTTCTATACTATAAAATTAAAAATTCACAAATGAAAAATTTTTAAATCAACAATCTTCCAAATAAACTTTAATTAAACCGTATAAAATTATCAATTTTCAATTGAATATTTGATTGAAATGGCAAAAAAAAAAAAACGACAGAAGAAAATATTCGAAATGAATGCGATCTTACCTGAACACGTGATTCGAGAAGATCTAAACGTAGTGCTAATGCTTCACGCATAAATACATCTGGATAATGGCTAGCTTCAAATGCATTTTCCAATTCCTCCAATTGCCAACCCGTAAAATTTGTCCTTGTTCGTCTTCTTTTACATTCTAACTTATCATTACCTGGGAAATTAGCTTTATTAATTAATTAATTAATTTCGTACAATTTTCAAACACAACTTAGAATGCTTCTGTAATTGCAAATTTTTATGAGAAAAATAACTTGCAATTAATAGACAATTATCAATTATTTACAATTATTAATTATTTCTGAAAATTTTTATTTAAATATTTTTGAAGGATACTTTTGATCTATTTGCGTATATATTATCATAAAAATACTTATCGATGGCATATTGCTATCGAACCAGATCCGTTTTTTTTCAGTAGTTCTTGAAAATTACCTATCGATGGTATATTGCTATCAAACCGGATTCGTTTTTTTTTCAGTAGTTCTTGATTTAATAGTTGTGTCATAAGATATCATTCCTACTTCCACTTTTTTACTTTTGTGAAAATTTAACCTTAAAATGACATTAATTAATCTATTTAATTATCACCTCTTCTAGAACCTTTACAATCATCACCAAGCAAAGCGCCAAGATGTAATTGTCGTGAATGCTGTGCTGATGTCTCAATAACATCTTGATCTGTTGTTGAATGATTACCAATTACGGTAGTATCCGGTGTGGTTGATCGTGATGATGCTATTTCTGATTCATTTGATGATGTTGGTTGTTGAGCTATTGATAAATCTACTGGAATTCGAAACAAACTATCATTGTGATAAATAAATGATAAATATGTTACAACTGATAAAATATGTTGTAACTGATAATATCACTGATATATAAGCTTTATCTCGTTTACTTTCCATTATCATACTGTATTTTCGTGCCATTATTGTAGTGATAATAAAATATGGGTGTAAACAAATATATAAACAAAGGCATAATTTTAGGTTATGCTTTTGATGTTTAAAAAAAAATCGAAAAGAAAACCAAAAAAATTTTACTTTTCAATTCTTGGGATTTAATCAATGATCAAATGATTTGATAATCAATTAACAATCAAACGATCTAACGAATAATTATAAATACGCAATAATTTAAAAATTTAAATTAAAAAAAATTTTCTTCAAAAAAAATGGAAATGAATAATTATTTTAGACATACTTCCTTTAACAAGTTGTTGTTGCATTTTCCAACACTCCTTCCAAAATTGTTGCATACCAGTTGTTGTAAACATTTGGAATTTTTCTAAATTAATATTTTTATTTCCAATTTTTTCGTTTTTTTTGATCATTAAACTTTTCCATTTTTAATTGCAAAATTTGTAAATGTTTTTTTTAAAAAAAAGAAAACCAAAATATAATCAAATATATTTATAATATATGTTAATTATCCATAATGTTCGGTAGATATCATTGATAAGAGATGAATATCACTGATAACTGATTGAGATATACAATAGAAATAGTAATAACAGTGAGGATTGCAAATGTGAAATGTTGAAAATTTTGCTTAAAATTAGACTAGGCAAAATAAAAAAATTTTTTTCATTAAGTATTTTAGAAAGATAAAAGCAAAATGGTTAAATTCAAATAAATCAAATTTCTCAATTTCATGTCAAAAAAAAAAGTAAAATGAAAGGATAAAAGAATATGCGTATCTGAAAATGCAAATTTTGTGTAGCAGAAATTTTTTGTTTTTTTTAAATCATTTAGTAACCTAGAAAACTTATAACTTAATTAATTAATACATAAAAAGTAAGAATTGGCAGCTTAATGGATTTATAAAAAATAGGAATTTCATAACTTTAATAGAAAGCAAATGTTCTAAAAATTGAAGATGAAATCTAAGTATTCCAGTAGAATTAATTATTTAATTTGTTAATTAATTATTCAACAGTGCTACCACTGCAACACTTTGGGTAATTAAGTGCATTGAATGTTAATAATGAAATTAAATCAAATTTAATTATTTGAAAGAAAAAAGGAAGTAAAACATGAATTTAATGAAGTATCGAAGAATTGAATTAAGTATTTAAGCACTTTTGAATTGTTAAATTTAAAAAAGGAATTTAATAATTAAACAATTCTATCAAATGATAATATGATTGCACATTGTAATGATGGTATAAGCAAAAATAATCTCATAAGTTAGCTTAAGTTAATCATAAAAGCTTAAAGAAAACATTTCGTCCAATGGAATATGCTAAAAGATTTCTTAACTTTAAAAGTTAGGCTTCAATATTTTAAGCTAAAAGAAAGAAAAGAATGAAATTTATCCAATCAGGACGAAGCAACGAATGAAATTGGAGGCGGTATTTATACTGCAACACCAATCCCCAACCAAACAATTGATTAAGCTGCTTTTTTCTTTTTTTTTTTAAACTCTCTTCTCTTTCCACCGGAAGAAGGAAAAAAGCATAAAAAAAAAAAAAAAAAATTAA